CCGGTGCCCGTTGAAGACGAAGGCCATGTCGTCGGCGCCCAGCTCGGTGTCGGGGCGCAGCCCGGGCCGGGCCCAGCCCACGCGCATCTCGCCGGCCGTCACCGCCTGGAACTCGAAGTACCAGCGGCCGCTGCGCACGGCCGAGCCGCGCTCCGCCCGGAACAGCCGCGGCCGGGGGGCGCGGGGACCCCCGGGAGCCGAGCCCTGCGAGGCTGGGGGGAACGGGGGGTCAGCATCCCGAAAACGGGACATGGAACGCCAAAAACGGCACCCAGAGAGCCAAAAACGGCACCCAAAAATGGCACCCAGATAGCCCAAAAACAGCACCCAAAAACGGCACCCAGAGAGCCCAAAAATGGCACCCAGAGAGCCAAAAACGGCACCCAAAAATGGCACCCAGATAGCCCAAAAGCTGCACCCAGAGAGCCAAAGACGACACCCAAAAATGGCACCCAGAGAGCCAAAAACGGCACCCAAAAATGGCACCCAGATAGCCCAAAAACGGCACCCAGAGAGCCAAAGACAGCACCCAAAAATGGCACCCAGAGAGCCAAAAACGGCACCCAAAAATGGCACCCAGATAGCCCAAAAACAGCACCCAGAGAGCCCAAAAACTGCACCCAAAAATGGAACCCAGAGAGCCCAAAAATGGCACCCAGAGAGCCCAAAAACAACACCCAAAAATGGAACCCAGAGAGCCCAAAAACTGCACCCAAAAGCGACACCCAGATAGCCCAGAAACGGCACCCAGAGAGCCCAAAAACTGCACCCAAAAATGGAACCCAGAGAGCCCAAAAACTGCACCCAAAAGCTGCACCCAGAGAGCCCAAAAATGGCACCCAGAGAGCCCAAAAACTGCACCCAAAAACGGCACCCAGAGAGCCAAAGATGACACCCAAAAACGGCACCCAGGGAGCCCAAAAATGGCACCCAGAGAGCCCAAAAACTGCACCCAAAAACGGCACCCAGAGAGCCAAAGATGACACCCAAAAATGGCACCCAGGGAGCCCAAAAATGGCACCCAGAGAGCCCAAAAACTGCACCCAAAAATGGCACCCAGAGAGCCCAAAAATGGCACCCAGAGAGCCCAAAAACTGCACCCAAAAATGGCACCCAGAGAGCCCAAAAACGGCACCCAGAGAGCCAAAGATGACACCCAAAAACGGCACCCAGGGAGCCCAAAAATGGCACCCAGAGAGCCCAAAAATGGGAGATTGAACCCAAAAATGGGACATGGAACCCCAAAAATGGGACATGGAATCCCAGAAATGACACATGGAAACCCAAAAACTACATGGAAACCCCAAAACCAGGATGTGGAAACCCAAAAATGGGAGACGGAAACCCAAAACTGGCACCCAAACAGCACCAACAGCCACGGCCGGGGTGCGCCGGGACCCCCCCCCGAGGGCACACCCTGAGAATCTGGGGGAGAACGGGGGGGTCAGCACCCCAAAACGGGACACGGAGACCCCCAGAACCGTCGGCCAGAAGGTCCCAACAGCTCCCAGGTGTCCCCAGATGTCCCCAGAGCGTCGCTGGCCCACTCACGCGTCTCCTGGTCGGGGGGCTCGATGTTGTAGCCGTAGCCCAGCAGGGTCCGCACGGCCTGGCACAGGCTCTCGCGGTTGGTGGCCTTGGTCCCCTCGTCCAGCAGGTTGTAGGGGACCAGCCGCGGGTTCCGCTTGTTCTTGATGTCCTGGGGACG